AATGTCTAGCAAATTGCCTACTCATAATGAGTGCTTAATAAATCTAAAGGATGAACACATCAGTAATTTGACAATAGGTAAACTGTGATATTTTCATAACTGCCTTATAATAAGATCCTTATGTTTCAAATAATAAAATACTTAATAGCATTTAATGACGTATTTTTAATCTGAGATAATTATAAAGTCAATCAGAATATACCCGTTCTTAATTTAAGCCGAGTTTGTTCTATTCACTTAATGGAGTTGGCTAAATAGAAACTCAAATAAGTGCTTGTTAATTATACTAATTAAAAAATGGTTGAATTAAAATATAGGAGCTACGTAAAACCTAGTTAAAATCTGAAGTTACTATGGGCATGTAAAGTAGCTTCTCAAAGGGATAGCTTTTGTTGCCTTAGTTATTTGTGGGGTTTCTCTGAGTGAATTTCAAGATATCTGATGCAACACATTTTGGTAATGGGGGAAGGGGAGGGAGGAGTGCTGTATCTCTGGAGCTTTGTTTCTTCTCAACTCTTAGCAACGTACAACTAAGAAATTTTACAACCGGTGAAAAAAGGAGCTACTGTATCCTGCTATCCCTTAAGAATCCATTTCTAGGTCTCCCAGATGTATGAAGAAAGCCAACAGAAGATGTTTTAAGATTTCATCCTTATTTTATGCTCTATGTTATTTCATAAAGAAGTTGACTTGCCCCACATGTTATTAGTGGCATCTACTTCAATAATCCTAGAACTCATATTTCAGCTCAAGTGACTTCCTTAGATAAGCTTTCCCTGAACCCCTCACCAGGTCAAATCCTATATTTCCTTTCCCAGAACCATCAGACTTTTACAGTTTAAAAAACAAAACAAAACAATTTGATTAATCTATCAAATTTCTCCAGAACTCTAGAACTCAGTTCTCTGTGAGGGCAGGAATATCTGGTTTGGCTTACCACTGAATCCCTAGGGCCCAGAACAGAGTCTTGCATGAAATAGGTACTTGAAACCAAACCAAACCAAACCAAACCAACAAACAAAAAAGACAAAAAACAAAAACAAACAAACCCGGAGACCTGATAAGTAAATGATCACAAATGCCACTTTTTCCTAAGGGCATTAGTTGAGTTCAACAAATTCCAACTTTCCTTTTGGTGGTGATAGGAACAGAAATCACTTCACACAGGTGGGAAGTCTAACAAGACATGCTCCTTACAACAAAGTGGAACCCAACGGCTATGCAATGAAAGTGAATTAGAAATGAACCGTCCTTTATAAGAGGAGTTTAAGTCTGGGGTTTACCTGGGTATTCTAGAAAACTTCAAGCTATGACCTTCATTTACCTAACCAGTACGGTGGTACAATAGCACCAGGCACTTGGCAGAAGCAAAGACAAATTCTTGTATTAATCATACAAATGAATTTTCAAGTGTCATGACCAGCACATAGCCAAAGATAATCAGGAAATAAACATCATGAGCATAAATCAGCAGGGTAATAATAGATAACAGAAACAGACACATAAAAACTTTAGATGTTAGAATTATTATAGTACAAATGCTGAGAAGTTAAGAAATATACTTCTATACTTGTTCATGATAGAAATTAGAATATTTTTTGAGCCAAAGGACCATGAAAATATTACATACCAATACCTGTGGTAAAATGGTAAAAGCTACCTCAGAAAATAGCTTGGCAACTCCTCAAGAAGTTAAACATAAGAGTTACCATATGACCCAGAAATTCTACTCCTAGATATATACCCAAGAGAGTGGAAAACATATGTTCACACAAATATTCATAGCAGCATTATTCATAGTACCCAGAAGTGCAAACAATCCAAATGTCTCTCAACTGATGAATAGATAAACAAAATGTGGTATATCTATACAATGCAATATTATTCAGACTTAAAAAGGAAGGAAGAACGCATACATGCTACAACGTACATGCTACAACATGACTAACCCCCCCCAAAATTATGCTAAGTGAAAGAAACCAGGCACAAAAAGCCACATCTGGTTCCATTTATATGAAATATCCAGAATAGACAAATTCATGGAAAGAGAAAGTAGATTTTGAGGTTTCTAGGGGCTTGAAGGAGGGGGGAAAATGGGGAGTGGCTGCTAATGAGTACGGGGTGTCTTTTTGTGGTGATGAAACTATTCTAGAATTAGATAGTAGTGACGGTCGTGCAACTCTATGAATATACTAAAACCACTCAATTAGATGCCTTAAAAGGGTGAACTTTATAGTCTGTGAATTACATCTCAATTTTTTATTTTTGTGGGTTACAGTAAAGGGAAATTTATAGCCTTAAATGCATATATTTTCAATGGTTTGCTGGTAAGAATTCTCTCTAGTTTATTTATTATTCTTACTAGTAAGAATTCTATACTAGTTTGCTTAATATTCTTACCAGTAAAGTTATGCTTAAAAATACCTGCAAGAAACATGGACCTATGAAAAGTTTTTTAAAGGAAACTTTTAAAAGATTTTGAAAGAACCAAGTAGAATTCTAGAAATGAAAAGAAGAATAACTGAATTAAAAACTTAATGGGATGGGGCACCTGGGTGGCTCAGTGGGTTAAGCCTCTGCCTTCGGCTCAGGTCATGATCTCAGGGTCCTGGGATCAAGTCCCACATCGGGCTCTCTGCTTGGTAGGGAGCCTGCTTCCTCCTCTCTCTCTCTCTCTCTCTGCTTGCCTCTCTGCCTACTTGTGATCTCTCTCTGTCAAATAAATAAAATCTTAAAAAAAAAAAAAAACTTAATGGGAAGATTTAGCAAAGATTAGATTCAGGTGAAGAAAGAACTGATTAACTGGAAGGTCGGTTGGAGAATAATCACCCTGATTCATGTAGTAAGTTGTGTAGTATTCCGTGATGCAGTGTCAGGATATCTGAATCTTCCCTTCACATGGTTCAGCAACACATGCGTCTATCTATTTACCTGTCTACATAATAAAGACAGAAACATGTTTAGTAAGAGAGGGAGATAAAGCAAACATGGTAACACGTTAACTATTAGTGAATCTTGATGGATATTTAGATTTCTCTCAACAGTTATGTCCCAAACTTTAAAGACCAGCAAAAAGGTAGCATTTATAATAGCATAAAAATATCAAGCATGAAAAGATTAAGTCTTTAAAAAGAAATAGAAGCCCTCTGTGCGGGAGATTATGAGTTTACTGAAGAACACTAACAGAAGACATAAATGAACATAGAGATATACCATGCCCATGGACTGAAAGACTAAACATAAAATTTTTAAGAGAAGACCCACAGAAACATACAGCTATACCATGCTCCTAGATTAGAAGATTAAATTTGTAAAAAAAAAAAAAAATTCCCTCAATCAAAGAGTAAATTTAATGCAACTCTGATCAAAATCAAATAGGGCTTTGAATCACTGTATTGTACACCTGAAACTGATATTACCCTGAATGTTAAGTAAGTGGAATTTAAAAAACTTAAATCTAATAGGATTTGGAAAGAACTTGGAAAGGTGCTTCTGAAATGCATATGGAAGAAGAAAGGGTCAAGAGGAGGAAAACCCCCTGGGCTTCTAAACACTACACACTACTGCTTTGTTCAGAGGTAGCTATCTTCTCAGCCTCATCCATAGATTGCTCAACTTCTTGATCTTCTTGTTAGAATGCCCCAGGGCTCAGGCCTTCAAATTCTCTCCACTATCATACTCACTCCTTTGGCAATTTTATCCAGTCTCATAGATTGAAATAACCACTCATTACTAACCCCTGCCTCCATTCCAATCTAGGTCTCTCTCTCAGACTCAAGTCTCACATCCAGTTGTTTACTTGCTATCTCCTCTTGGGTTATGCAATCTGAGATTTAACCAATCTAAAAACGAATGCCTCAACATTTGCCTTATCTGCAACCTTCTTCATTCCAGTTGATGGCAAATTCATCTTGAATTTCAATTGCTCAATCCAATACCTTGGGGTTTGGCTGTCACTCTTCTATATCACATATTTTATCCAATGCATCAGCAAATCCCTAAACGAATCACTTCTCACATACCTTCACTATGCCTACTCTGGTTTGATCCACCTTCAGCTCTTATCTGGATAATTGCCATCGCCTTCTGATTGGCTTACCTGCCTCACCCCATGGCCTCCATCTCTCCCCCAAAGCCAACACTATCATTTAGAGCCCTAAGATCATTTTTCACCCTAAAATCTTGTCACACTTTTTATTTCATAAAGGTCAAAATCTCTAACAATGGTCTTCTAGAACCTATATCATCCGGCACTACTCCTTGCCCTTTCCTCCAGGACCTCAAATCTCCTACTGTTCTCTCCTGTCCTCACTTCACACCAGCCACAGTGACTTCCTTGCCCCCCCCCCCGCAAATATGCCAAACCTCCTCCCACATCCCAGTCTTCCCACTAACAGTTTCACTGGCAGTTCCCTCTATTTCTTAACCCAGTTTGCATGGGGAAAAATCAGTTTTGGCTTGGGAATGCACCCAGCATTAGGATATTTTTGAATGTCCCATATTTCTTCAAAATAATCAGGAATTATTTTAGCTTTTAGTTGGTAATTGTCGAAACTGAGTGATGGGTACATGGAGCCCTTGCAATGTCCTTTCAAATTAATATAAAACAGGAATAAAAGCATCTCTGGTGATTCTGGTGTGCAGCAGGGTTGAGAAGCACTGGTTTATGACCCCCAAACTAGATTATTTTCCCATAAATATAAAAATTGAGACATTTCTACTTGAAAGGCTGTCAAATTAAAAAGATACATGTTAAATGAAAAATATCAAATTTATTTTCCAAATACAAGAAAAAAAGTATGCATTCGAATTCACTTTGCAATATACATTAACATAAAAACTCCTAGTCAGTGTCTTACTTGTCTCAACTTAACCCCCAACCAACAGTGGCAGCCACAAGAAGGGAAAGATTGCTGGCCCTTGGTTTGGGGAATCTGAAACTTGGCACGAGACCTTAGGAAACATCTACCCAGGTTGTGAAGGCCTTCTGACTGCTTATCCAAATGCTCTAGAATAGCCATCTGCAGTTTGTCTTCCCACAACCTCCACTAATGTTTAACATATTTTGAGGTAAAGTCCAAAGCGTGGAAGGATGAAATTCTCTTCAGCTTCAAAGGAACCTTAGTTCGTATCTAAATCTGATATTATCAAAGGTGATACCTTTTCTCTTTAAAAAATAAACCAAATGAGTTTATTGGTTTGAAAGAGATTGGTTAATAAGCCTGACAAGGAAAAATCAAACCACCACCTTATAAGAATCTATAGGAGGCCAACCTGGTCTTTGGGAAGTGGAACCACATGAGTTCTACCAAAAATGGCTATGGAGCTTATTGGATGTGATCCGACGTCCCCTCAGAAGACTGGGGAAGCTGTGAAGATTTGCTTAGTTGTGGACTATTCCCCCTCATGCTCACCAGATGGCTACTGATTACACGAAGTTCCCGTATCACCACGTTCAGGTCTTCATGTAGTTTGACTGCGGCATTTTTCACCTCTCCAAGGAGAGCTTTAATGGAATCGTTTCCCTCAGGCTCTTTCGGCAGGCCTTCAGTTGTCTGAAAACTCGGACAGGACAGAGAGGTAAAGTGGTCTACATTTGCAGTGGGAAACTCTGCCCAATTATGGCCAGAAGCAGGACTTGTCTGCTTCCTGGCAGACTCAGAGTTATCTGGAAGACATTCCAGTAGATAGAGGTTGTCATTTTCCTCTTCATCAGAAGACACTAGGCCCCTAGGAGCTAAGGGGTGATGAGCCCTGGCTCTCTTATCTTTATCCTTAAAGGAGGCAGAAGACTGCTGATGGGACAGAGTCCAGAAGGAAGGTCCAGCCAAAATCGGGTGTAAGAGATGAACAGACTTTTCTGGAGAGGCTGAATCAGGAGGTGACAGAGATAAAGTGGAAAAGGAGGATGTTCCTTCAGAGGTGGTTGAAACTGAAAGGTATAAATGGGAGAGAAAGATTATGCAATGTACAAATGAGAGTAATAAATAAAATAATTTTACAATGTAAAATCCTATGGGCAAAGTCTCAACATACGCTCCTTAAAATGGTATATGTTAAATATTCATAATAAGCCTAAATAAACCCAAAGCAGGAAGTGGAGAAAATCCAAAGATGTATCCTATACCACTACCGCCATGGAAATGAAGCTAACAAAGTATCAATATTCGCCTTGACTCTGAACTGTGCTGGACATATTTTTACACTACACTTACCAGAGAGCAGAAAAGTAAAGTATTACACCCTATTCTACTGACTGGTGGCATTTTAAATTGGCATTTAAAGTAGACAGTGTGAGAAAGTTGTAACTTAGATTCCGTCTTCCTTTTTTTTTTCTACAGAGAATATTATGGCAAAATGACCAACCAACTACAAGAACTCGAAAGCTATGAAACAAATTTCTTTCTCTAACTGCTCAAACACAGTCGAGATTAAACTCCAAACAACCTGAGATGAAACATTTGAGTCCATGTATATAATTTTTTTCATCAAAAAATAAGTAAAATAAAAAGCATTCTAAACCTGGTTTCCACAAAATTAAACATTTGATACCACTTTAACTCCATTTCAGGCAAAATCATACTCTCTTCTTTTGCATTCATTCTACATTGTTATTTCCCGTGTTCTGAGGAACACCGTGTTCCTTAAGATGTAAAAAGATGTTTGGTGAAAACAGGATTGTAAAGTCAGGTTAAGACTGGGCAATTGCACACTGTGCCTTTCTTTAGGAGTTTAATAATGAACATTAGCACATTGGAAGTTCTGAGAAATCTACAATAATTTATTCAAGGGGTTTCCAAACTTTCTTTGACACAGAACTGTTTCCTGACTTGGAATAGTTATTGACACTCATGTGTGTATTAGGTGGTACGAGTTCCAAATCTCGTACAAATCCAGTTCAAAATCCAGTTCCAACGTCATTACAGCTAACTAGACTTGTTACTTTAATAATAATAAAAGAAAGCTGAAGTCATAGAACAGGGAAACTAACACCGACCCCTTAACACACATGACTTACATATTATTTTATTTGCTTTATATTTGCATGTCCCTTTAAACCAAATTGAATCTCCTGTTAAAAAAAAAAAAAAAAAAACCATGACTGGGGCAGGCGGCTTCTATTTTCTGCTTCAAAGCTCTCTGAGGCCCATCTCCAGCTTTTAGGAAAAATTCCAATCACAAGACATTTTGGGGGTGAAATGAGTGTTCTCAGCCGATGCAGCAGCAGGGCACGAAAAGGAAAACGGGAGCTTCATCGGCACATGGTCGAGGCCAGAGGAGCGCACGGAAGAATCTAGGTCAGCCTCATCCTGACGTCTGTCATCATGTTGAAGAGACGGCATGATGGTGATGGGCACCTCGATGCATTCTGAGTCACACCGCCACTCCGAGTGTGCTGTTTGGATGACGGTTGTCCCCTGACATGTCCCTGCCCCACCCTGCTGGGTTGGTTTCCATACCCCATGTCTCTTTCTTGGTGTACCCTCATTTGGGGGTAGCCCATTCTCCGGCAGTTCACTGAGAAAGGGAAACACAGGTGTGGCAGTCACGTGGGGCGACACGATGACAATAACCTGGTTCACTTCCACCGGCTTTCGCTGGGCGCTGGCGGTTCTCTGAGCGCCCCGGAACACGCGGCAGCAGCACTCGGGAACTCGTCAGAAATGAGGTTCTTGGGCCCAAGCCCCCTAAACGAAATCAGAAACTAGGGTCGTGCCCAGGAACCCGAGCTCCAGCCGGCCTCCAGCTGTTTCTGATGCCTGCCCAAGTCTGAGAATCCCCGCTTTCTCCTCTCTGTCCACCCTTCTTTCCCGTTGGAGCTGCAACTGCCGCCTAACCGGCTTATCATTGTTTACAGTTTCATAGCTTGGATTCACAGGCTTTTGCCCATAAAAAGCCACTTTATCTCTAATTGCCGCACACCAATTTACTTTTGTTTCCAAACACACCACAGCTGTAGCAGACACATGAAGCTCTCTTCAGGGCGCCTCCTGCCCATTGCGTTATCCTGCTCGGGCTCCCGCTCATTGCAGAAGGCTATGTGACTCTCCTGTGGACATTCGTCCTGTCCATACAGTGCAGCTACCAGAGCTGCAATGCAACAGAGACGCGGCGAGAAAGGGCTGCCATTAAAAAATCTCCCCGTGTGACAGATGCACGCCAATTAATGTCGCACTTGCTTAAAGATAGCACCCATAAAATGATTCCAACTGCTCATGTGTTATCTTTAACTTTTTATACTCACGGAAAACATCAGACCCGTTGATTATTATATTGTAACTTTAAATTTCAGAAGCATTTAGAAGAACTGCCTTGCAAAAATATAATGACAAATGCGTTTCTAGAAACATTTCTAAACTCCAGCTGTAGTTGTAAATTTTTCTGTTAGTGGCAGGTCCTTGGTCAACTAAACACTTCCAACTACTCACTATAGAACAGAGGAAATTTTTATTTTTTGTCCAGTTCCTCCTCTCAGTTTTCCTGACATATAATGACTGTCAAGTTAACTGTGCACATGAAATAAGACATTCTGGTTTTGCTCAGTGATGTAAAAAGTAGCATTTTACATAAGTGTCCATAGCAAAATTATTCGTAATAGCCAAAAAGTGGAAAAACTCAAATATCCGTTAACTGATGAAGGGGTAAATAAAACATGTTTCTCTCTGCAGCAGGATATCACTCAGCCACAAGAAAGAGGGAAGTACTGATTTATGGGGCAACATGGATGAACTTTGAAAACACGGTGCGAAGGGAAAGAATCCAGACACAAAAGACATATTGTATGATTCCATACCATGAGAGGTCCCGAGTAGGCAAATAGAGAAAGTAGATTACTGGTTCCGGGGGAGCGCTAGGGGGAGGGAGGAATGGGGAGTGATTGCTAATGGATGCAGGACTTCTTTGGGGTAATGAAAATGTTCCGGAATTAGTGGTGATGATTGAACATTTCTGGCGATATACTAAAACCTACTAAATTGTACCCTTTAATAGAGCACATTTTCTGGTCCATGAATTAGAGCTCAGTTTTTTAAAAACATAATATTTGAAAATTTACTTTAATGTCATTATTAAAAATAAGCTATATGAAAGAAACAGATTTAGGAATAACATAAAATTCGAGAGAAATGCTAATGAGTCTGCCCCTAACACTAATACTAAATTGTTACTGGGACGATTGGCTTATTGGATTAATGATGACTTCTCTTACCTGTGAACTGTAAATTTGGTTTGTTGAAATTAAAACACCAAATCCGTGTGTTTTTTGTCTGCAAGAAGGCAGGCAGGAGCTGTGCTGCTGGAGGAGCTGCTGGGGCCGAGTCTGGGGGCAGCGCCGCAGGTGCCGCCCTGACTTTCCTGCCGGGTACAATCAGACTCGCTTCTACCCTCCACTCTGCACGCTGCTTCTGAACCAGCCTGACCGGGAGTTCAGGGTCAGCTGAGCAAGTCTGCAGAGCAGTTTTCTACCATTTTCCCCATTTCTTTTTGGAAAATGTTCATTATTTTGGCTCTAAAGACTTCCACAAGCAAAAAGTTAAAGGGCGTGTGCGTGTGCATATGTGCGTGTGTGTATGTGTGTGTGTGTGATGTGTGGTTTCTTTCCTTAGCAAAGATGGACTGACAAACAGCTCTACCGAACAACCACTACTGACATCCAGGGTACAAAAATGGGATCAATGAGATAGAAACAAAGGCTGGAGCCAGGGAGAATGGTCACCGCTATCCCAGCACGAGAACATATAGATTTGTTTCCTCCCCCCAAGTCAGAAAGTCAAGTCCAGCGCAGCCTAACACGCTTCCCCCAACTGTGGCTTGTGAATATAATGATCTGACTTCATGTACCTACTAGCTCCCTTTCTCTTTCCAGCGTGCGTGACAAACGATCTAATGACCTAAAAGAATAGTTGGACCTACAGATAAATAACTTAAAATTTAAACAGAGGAGGAGAAGGAATGGACTGTTCTAGGAACAGAGTTATTTACATCAAAAGGGCAAGGAAGTTGCTGCAGCAAATCATTCAGTGAAAGTATCAGAATGAAAACATTAACGTGTATTGGGCGGCTGCCTTGCAGTCCCCCAATGGCTGAAATCCGCTGCACTGTGAGTGCGGAAATCTTTTAAAATGTACCCAGCTCATTATCTCCAAAGAGTTTATACCACCAGGCCTGGACCCTTCATATACACAAATACTTCTTAGAACAGTAAAAATAGAAAAAACAGAAAATAGACGCTGTCTTTTCTAGCCTCGGTCACCCTGCATCCACAGACACACTAGCCTTCAATCCTACCTCATCATTTCCCGAATTCCTCAACCACGAGTCGCCTTCAGCCATTCCACTGAGCACTCTCTGGAACAGGCCACCACTCAGAGCGGCCCTGCTCTGAAATCTTGCTTTCCAAGAGGACATTTTCTTGATTATTTCCAGCCCTCTTCTTCCTTTTAATGCATCTACACTTCGGCCCCGTTGAGCCAGAAGATCAAGGATCCTTGTACTTCTCTCACTACATCAATGTCCACCTGAGTCTCCTCTCTTGTCTTCCCCCATTACCTTCATTACTCCCATTACTTCCCCCATTACACCCACCACGTTTTTTCTGCTTTATCTGCTGTTAATTCCTAATCTAGGAGTCATGCTAATTCCTAATCTAGGAGTCAGCAGACCTTTCCTGTAAAGGACCAGATGGTAAATATTTTGGGCTTTATGAGACCTATAGCCTCTACTCCAACTAGTCAGCTCTGTTGTTATAGCACAAAAGCAAACAGAGATTACATGTAAACCAATTACTGTGCTTGTTCCAATAAAACCTCACTTACAAAAACAAGGAGGGGCCTCATTTGGCCCCAAAGCTATGGTTTGCAAGCTCCTGTCCTAATCCTATTTCAATTCAAATATCTACCTTTTTTATTCCTACCCCCAGGCTGCTCAGCACTA